ACTAGGAAGGAGAAGTACCTGGCAGCATTGATGAAGGAGAAGCAGCTAGCAACGGTGAAGAATAAGGCTAGGCAAGACATGCCCTCTTCCTCAGTGGTGGCGCCCTTGTCCTTGGCGGCGGCGTCGAGGGTAGCGGTCAAGAAGCCGGTGGTGGTGCTCATGGTGGACTCGGATAGCGAGGAGAAAGGAGAACCCGTGGAGGCGAGGAGGAAGGAGGGGAAGGCCACGCAAGCAGCGGCGGCAGCGATGCCTTTTTCCTCGACCGCGGCGCTGAGGGCAGCGCCCACCAAGATGTGCGACCACTGCTATGAGGGAGGAGCCAGGACGTGTCGTTTATGGCTCCGCGGTGGCATCAACTATGGCAAAGTCGGTGGTTCAAGCTCCACCCATGGCCAGGTAATGCACACTCTTTAGATTACAACTGCTTATATGTAGGTTTTCTTTCTTAATTTCATAACAGTTTTGTTAGTAGCCTCTGAATTGGATGAGTTTGTTGCTAAAATAATTTGGCTCGTGCCATTCTCTCATCCTCGACCCAGATGGAGCAGAGAAAACAACTTAGTGTATAATAAATGTAGATGGAACTCAAGTTTTTATGCAAGCAATGTAAACTGTCATATATTGTATTTTGCAGCAACATTGTGATTTGAGTAGATTGCTTTATCTAGATGTTTATCATAGATCAATGATTTTAATCTTGTGAATAATTTTGATGGTGCCACTTCAATATTTCAGCATTGTGATTTGAGTAGATTGGGTTTCATCTCTTTGGGGCAGCTCTAAGTCTTTATGTGCATTGTTAGCAGCGGCTAGATGTTTTATTTTTCTAATTTGCTATGATTCTGGTGTTCACAAGGTCATGGACTTTGTAGCCTACAATTGATTATATGAAACTTATATGATTTTGATATGTATGCTGGATAATGAAACTTATATGAATGCAAATGAAACTTATATGTAGGTTTTTTGTCACAGTATCTAGATTTATGCTGCATTTTCATATATGTTCCTATAATTGTTTCTATGCATATAGGTTTGATCTTATCAGCTCCCTATGAGTACCATGCACGAGCACCTACAGGCAGTGATTCTAAAACCCATCATGAAGAGCATAGGCGGTCTTCAGCGGAGTGTTCACGAACTCAAGAAAGAGAAGGCTAAGAACGAAGAGAAGGAGAAGCATCTCCAGAAGAACCTGGACGACCTTTTTGACCAACTGGCGTCCATGGTTCAGAATGTGCTTGACCTCTAGAGCAAGTTGTAGGGCACTATGCCTCTACTGTTGGTGAACAACTAATGATGATGTGATGTTGTGTTAACTTTTGCTAATGAAACTATGTGAATGTAAACTTTATGATGACATACTTTTGGTGATGATGTAATTACTGTGATGAAGTAGCAAAACTCTGTTATGCAAACTCTGTCACATACTTTGGCTAGAAATGCATCTATCTATATATTATTACATATATATTGTTGCTGGTTTGTCGATGGCTAGAGTGAAAATGGAAGAATACAAGCAAATTCATCAATGCTTTAGTAATAAAAATCAGATTTTCATTAGATTTAGTTCACATTGCAAGTTTCACACAAGCAACTTCATCACAGTTTCACACAAGCCCAGCACTGTTCATAGAGAAGCACACGCCAGAGAACAGGAGGCCAAAGACAAGAGTAGGGAGGAGAGCTGAGCATGCCAGCGATCCCCTGTAGCTCGAGATGGTGAAGCACGCACCTAATCGAGTACACTGCAGGGAGGAAGGAGTTACAGTCAGACTCAAGCTTGACCATAGCCATGGCGGTATGGCGGACATAGAATGGCAGCGCGGTGGTGCTCTGACAGATACAGCACAGTATAGGTTAATCTAAGGGTCAGGCAGCATCAACACCTCACCGCGATGTCGATGCACTGCTTGGTTGAACTGAGGACGAGGCAAAGCTAGATGGCTGGTGGTGATGGCACGTGCGGCGGCACGAACTAGTTGTGAGGTCGTCGTTCCGCCGTGACCTGCACGATAGAGGTAAAAGAATGGAGCCAATGAGCATCATGGAGTTGCAGGAGAGCTAAAACAATAAACGGGGTCACCAGAGGAGCGTTAGAACAAGCTAGCCACGACGAGCTGCCATGGCAGCCATGGTGGCACGGCCGTGGTGGCAACCGACGCCGAAGGCGATTGCGGCGGCGAGAGGTGGCTACAGTGGTTCGAGGAGGACCGATAGAACTAGGCGAAGCTAGGAGCGCAGGAAATTGGGAGAAGATAGAACAACGGCAACGAATTTCACCGTCGAGCGACACTGTAACAGAACCGACCAAATCATAAGAACGTAAGTACAAAAACAATCACCGAAGTGATCAAATTTATGTACTTAAGCTCCCATAATCCCGGTAGTCCGAAAATCACGAAGGATTTCAACCAACTCTCGACATACAAACCAAGACCGTAGTGATTCAACAAGGTCATGGACTTTGTAGCCTACAATTGATTATATGAAACTTATATGATTTTGATATGTATGCTGGATAATGAAACTTATATGAATGCAAATGAAACTTATATGTAGGTTTTTTGTCACAGTATCTAGATTTATGCTGCATTTTCATATATGTTCCTATAATTGTTTCTATGCATATAGGTTTGATCTTATCAGCTCCCTATGAGTACCATGCACGAGCACCTACAGGCAGTGATTCTAAAACCCATCATGAAGAGCATAGGCGGTCTTCAGCGGAGTGTTCACGAACTCAAGAAAGAGAAGGCTAAGAACGAAGAGAAGGAGAAGCATCTCCAGAAGAACCTGGACGACCTTTTTGACCAACTGGCGTCCATGGTTCAGAATGTGCTTGACCTCTAGAGCAAGTTGTAGGGCACTATGCCTCTACTGTTGGTGAACAACTAATGATGATGTGATGTTGTGTTAACTTTTGCTAATGAAACTATGTGAATGTAAACTTTATGATGACATACTTTTGGTGATGATGTAATTACTGTGATGAAGTAGCAAAACTCTGTTATGCAAACTCTGTCACATACTTTGGCTAGAAATGCATCTATCTATATATTATTACATATATATTGTTGCTGGTTTGTCGATGGCTAGAGTGAAAATGGAAGAATACAAGCAAATTCATCAATGCTTTAGTAATAAAAATCAGATTTTCATTAGATTTAGTTCACATTGCAAGTTTCACACAAGCAACTTCATCACAGTTTCACACAAGCCCAGCACTGTTCATAGAGAAGCACACGCCAGAGAACAGGAGGCCAAAGACAAGAGTAGGGAGGAGAGCTGAGCATGCCAGCGATCCCCTGTAGCTCGAGATGGTGAAGCACGCACCTAATCGAGTACACTGCAGGGAGGAAGGAGTTAAAGTCAGACTCAAGCTTGACCATAGCCATGGCGGTATGGCGGACATAGAATGGCAGCGCGGTGGTGGTGCTCTGACAGATACAGCACAGTATAGGTTAATCTAAGGGTCAGGCAGCATCAACACCTCACCGCGATGTCGATGCACTGCTTGGTTGAACTGAGGACGAGGCAAAGCTAGATGGCTGGTGGTGATGGCACGTGCGGCGGCACGAACTAGTTGTGAGGTCGTCGTTCCGCCGTGACCTGCACGGTAGAGGTAAAAGAATGGAGCCGATGAGCATCACGGAGTTGCAGGAGAGCTAAAACAATAAACGGGGTCACCAGAGGAGCGTTAGAACAAGCTAGCCACGACGAGCTGCCATGGCAGCCATGGTGGCACGGCCGTGGTGGCAACCGACGCCGAAGGCGATTGCGGCGGCGAGAGGTGGCTACAGTGGTTCGAGGAGGACCGATAGAACTAGGCGAAGCTAGGAGCGCAGGAAATTGGGAGAAGATAGAACAACGGCAACGAATTTCACCGTCGAGCGACACTGTAACAGAACCGACCAAATCATAAGAACGTAAGTACAAAAACAATCACCGAAGTGATCAAATTTATGTACTTAAGCTCCCATAATCCCGGTAGTCCGAAAATCACGAAGGATTTCAACCAACTCTCGACATACAAACCAAGACCGTAGTGATTCAACAAGGTCATGGACTTTGTAGCCTACAATTGATCATATGAAACTTATATGATTTTGATATGTATGCTGGATAATGAAACTTATATGAATGCAAATGAAACTTATATGTAGGTTTTTTGTCACAGTATCTAGATTTATGCTGCATTTTCATATATGTTCCTATAATTGTTTCTATGCATATAGGTTTGATCTTATCAGCTCCCTATGAGTACCATGCACGAGCACCTACAGGCAGTGATTCTAAAACCCATCATGAAGAGCATAGGCGGTCTTCAGCGGAGTGTTCACGAACTCAAGAAAGAGAAGGCTAAGAACGAAGAGAAGGAGATGCATCTCCAGAAGAACCTGGACGACCTTTTTGACCAACTGGCGTCCATGGTTCAGAATGTGCTTGACCTCTAGAGCAAGTTGTAGGGCACTATGCCTCTACTGTTGGTGAACAACTAATGATGATGTGATGTTGTGTTAACTTTTGCTAATGAAACTATGTGAATGTAAACTTTATGATGACATACTTTTGGTGATGATGTAATTACTGTGATGAAGTAGCAAAACTCTGTTATGCAAACTCTGTCACATACTTTGGCTAGAAATGCATCTATCTATATATTATTACATATATATTGTTGCTGGTTTGTCGATGGCTAGAGTGAAAATGGAAGAATACAAGCAAATTCATCAATGCTTTAGTAATAAAAATCAGATTTTCATTAGATTTAGTTCACATTGCAAGTTTCACACAAGCAACTTCATCACAGTTTCACACAAGCCCAGCACTGTTCATAGAGAAGCACACGCCAGAGAACAGGAGGCCAAAGACAAGAGTAGGGAGGAGAGCTGAGCATGCCAGCGATCCCCTGTAGCTCGAGATGGTGAAGCACGCACCTAATCGAGTACACTGCAGGGAGGAAGGAGTTAAAGTCAGACTCAAGCTTGACCATAGCCATGGCGGTATGGCGGACATAGAATGGCAGCGCGGTGGTGCTCTGACAGATACAGCACAGTATAGGTTAATCTAAGGGTCAGGCAGCATCAACACCTCACCGCGATGTCGATGCACTGCTTGGTTGAACTGAGGACGAGGCAAAGCTAGATGGCTGGTGGTGATGGCACGTGCGGCGGCACGAACTAGTTGTGAGGTCGTCGTTCCGCCGTGACCTGCACGGTAGAGGTAAAAGAATGGAGCCGATGAGCATCACGGAGTTGCAGGAGAGCTAAAACAATAAACGGGGTCACCAGAGGAGCGTTAGAACAAGCTAGCCACGACGAGCTGCCATGGTGGCATGGCCGTGGTGGCAACCGACGCCGAAGGCGATTGCGGCGGCAAGAGGTGGCTACAGTGGTTCGAGGAGGACCGATAGAACTAGGCGAAGCTAGGAGCGCAGGAAATTGGGAGAAGATAGAACAACGGCAACGAATTTCACCGTCGAGCGACACTGTAACAGAACCGACCAAATCATAAGAACGTAAGTACAAAAACAATCACCGAAGTGATCAAATTTATGTACTTAAGCTCCCATAATCCCGGTAGTCCGAAAATCACGAAGGATTTCAACCAACTCTCGACATACAAACCAAGACCGTAGTGATTCAACAAGGTCATGGACTTTGTAGCCTACAATTGATTATATGAAACTTATATGATTTTGATATGTATGCTGGATAATGAAACTTATATGAATGCAAATGAAACTTATATGTAGGTTTTTTGTCACAGTATCTAGATTTATGCTGCATTTTCATATATGTTCCTATAATTGTTTCTATGCATATAGGTTTGATCTTATCAGCTCCCTATGAGTACCATGCACGAGCACCTACAGGCAGTGATTCTAAAACCCATCATGAAGAGCATAGGCGGTCTTCAGCGGAGTGTTCACGAACTCAAGAAAGAGAAGGCTAAGAACGAAGAGAAGGAGAAGCATCTCCAGAAGAACCTGGACGACCTTTTTGACCAACTGGCGTCCATGGTTCAGAATGTGCTTGACCTCTAGAGCAAGTTGTAGGGCACTATGTCTCTACTGTTGGTGAACAACTAATGATGATGTGATGTTGTGTTAACTTTTGCTAATGAAACTATGTGAATGTAAACTTTATGATGACATACTTTTGGTGATGATGTAATTACTGTGATGAAGTAGCAAAACTCTGTTATGCAAACTCTGTCACATACTTTGGCTAGAAATGCATCTATCTATATATTATTACATATATATTGTTGCTGGTTTGTCGATGGCTGGAGTGAAAATGGAAGAATACAAGCAAATTCATCAATGCTTTAGTAATAAAAATCATATTTTCATTAGATTTAGTTCACATTGCAAGTTTCACACAAGCAACTTCATCACAGTTTCACACAAGCCCAGCACTGTTCATAGAGAAGCACACGCTAGAGAACAGGAGGCCAAACACAAGAGTAGGGAGGAGAGCTGAGCATGCCAGCGATCCCCTGTAGCTCGAGATGGTGAAGCACGCACCTAATCGAGTACACTGCAGGGAGGAAGGAGTTAAAGTCAGACTCAAGCTTGACCATATCCATGGCGGTATGGCGGACATAGAATGGCAGCGCGGTGGTGCTCTGACAGATACAGCACAGTATAGGTTAATCTAAGGGTCAGGCAGCATCAACACCTCACCGCGATGTCGATGCACTGCTTGGTTGAACTGAGGACGAGGCAAAGCTAGATGGCTGGTGGTGATGGCACGTGCAGCGGCGCGAACTAGTTGTGAGGTCGTCGTTCCGCCGTGACCTGCACGGTAGAGGTAAAAGAATGGAGCCGATGAGCATCACGGAGTTGCAGGAGAGCTAAAACAATAAACGGGGTCACCAGAGGAGCGTTAGAACAAGCTAGCCACGACGAGCTGCCATGGTGGCACGGCCGTGGTGGCAACCGACGCCGAAGGCGATTGCGGCGGCGAGAGGTGGCTACAGTGGTTCGAGGAGGACCGATAGAACTAGGCGAAGCTAGGAGCGCAGGAAATTGGGAGAAGATAGAACAACGGCAACGAATTTCACCGTCGAGTGACACTGTAACAGAACCGACCAAATCATAAGAAAATAAGTACAAAAACAATCACTGAAGTGATCAAATTTATGTACTTAAGCTCCCATAATCCCGGTAGTCCGAAAATCACGAAGGATTTCAAGCAACTCTCAACATACAAACCAAGACCGTAGTGATTCAACAAGGTCATGGACTTTGTAGCCTACAATTGATTATATGAAACTTATATGATTTTGATATGTATGCTGGATAATGAAACTTATATGAATGCAAATGAAACTTATATGTAGGTTTTTTGTCACAGTATCTAGATTTATGCTGCATTTTCATATATGTTCCTATAATTGTTTCTATGCATATAGGTTTGATCTTATCAGCTCCCTATGAGTACCATGCACGAGCACCTATAGGCAGTGATTCTAAAACCCATCATGAAGAGCATAGGCGGTCTTCAGCGGAGTGTTCACGAACTCAAGAAAGAGAAGGCTAAGAACGAAGAGAAGGAGAAGCATCTCCAGAAGAACCTGGACGACCTTTTTGACCAACTGGCGTCCATGGTTCAGAATGTGCTTGACCTCTAGAGCAAGTTGTAGGGCACTATGCCTCTACTGTTGGTGAACAACTAATGATGATGTGATGTTGTGTTAACTTTTGCTAATGAAACTATGTGAATGTAAACTTTATGATGACATACTTTTGGTGATGATGTAATTACTGTGATGAAGTAGCAAAACTCTGTTATGCAAACTCTGTCACATACTTTGGCTAGAAATGCATCTATCTATATATTATTACATATATATTGTTGCTGGTTTGTCGATGGCTGGAGTGAAAATGGAAGAATACAAGCAAATTCATCAATGCTTTAGTAATAAAAATCATATTTTCATTAGATTTAGTTCACATTGCAAGTTTCACACAAGCAACTTCATCACAGTTTCACACAAGCCCAGCACTGTTCATAGAGAAGCACACGCTAGAGAACAGGAGGCCAAACACAAGAGTAGGGAGGAGAGCTGAGCATGCCAGCGATCCCCTGTAGCTCGAGATGGTGAAGCACGCACCTAATCGAGTACACTATAGGGAGGAAGGAGTTAAAGTCAGACTCAAGCTTGACCATAGCCATGGCGGTATGGCGGACATAGAATGGCAGCGCGGTGGTGCTCTGACAGATACAGCACAGTATAGGTTAATCTAAGGGTCAGGCAGCATCAACACCTCACCGCGATGTCGATGCACTGCTTGGTTGAACTGAGGACGAGGCAAAGCTAGATGGCTGGTGGTGATGGCACGTGCGGCGGCGCGAACTAGTTGTGAGGTCGTCGTTCCACCGTGACCTGCACGGTAGAGGTAAAAGAATGGAGCCAATGAGCATCACGGAGTTGCAGGAGAGCTAAAACAATAAACGGGGTCACCAGAGGAGCGTTAGAACAAGCTAGCCACGACGAGCTGCCATGGTGGCATGGCCGTGGTGGCAACCGACGCCGAAGGCGATTGCGGCGGCGAGAGGTGGCTACAGTGGTTCGAGGAGGACCGATAGAACTAGGCGAAGCTAGGAGCGCAGGAAATTGGGAGAAGATAGAACAACGGCAACGAATTTCACCGTCGAGCGACACTGTAACAGAACCGACCAAATCATAAGAACATAAGTACAAAAACAATCACTGAAGTGATCAAATTTATGTACTTAAGCTCCCATAATCCCGGTAGTCCGAAAATCACGAAGGATTTCAACCAACTCTCGACATACAAACCAAGACCGTAGTGATTCAACAAGGTCATGGACTTTGTAGCCTACAATTGATTATATGAAACTTATATGATTTTGATATGTATGCTGGATAATGAAACTTATATGAATGCAAATGAAACTTATATGTAGGTTTTTTGTCACGGTATCTAGATTTATGCTGCATTTTCATATATGTTCCTATAATTGTTTCTATGCATATAGGTTTGATCTTATCAGCTCCCTATGAGTACCATGCACGAGCACCTACAGGCAGTGATTCTAAAACCCATCATGAAGAGCATAGGCGGTCTTCAGCGGAGTGTTCACGAACTCAAGAAAGAGAAGGCTAAGAACGAAGAGAAGGAGAAGCATCTCCAGAAGAACCTGGACGACCTTTTTGACCAACTGGCGTCCATGGTTCAGAATGTGCTTGACCTCTAGAGCAAGTTGTAGGGCACTATGCCTCTACTGTTGGTGAACAACTAATGATGATGTGATGTTGTGTTAACTTTTGCTAATGAAACTATGTGAATGTAAACTTTATGATGACATACTTTTGGTGATGATGTAATTACTGTGATGAAGTAGCAAAACTCTGTTATGCAAACTCTGTCACATACTTTGGCTAGAAATGCATCTATCTATATATTATTACATATATATTGTTGCTGGTTTGTCGATGGCTAGAGTGAAAATGGAAGAATACAAGCAAATTCATCAATGCTTTAGTAATAAAAATCAGATTTTCATTAGATTTAGTTCACATTGCAAGTTTCACACAAGCAACTTCATCACAGTTTCACACAAGCCCAGCACTGTTCATAGAGAAGCACACGCCAGAGAACAGGAGGCCAAAGACAAGAGTAGGGAGGAGAGCTGAGCATGCCAGCGATCCCCTATAGCTCGAGATGGTGAAGCACGCACCTAATCGAGTACACTGCAGGGAGGAAGGAGTTAAAGTCAGACTCAAGCTTGACCATAGCCATGGCGGTATGGCGGACATAGAATGGCAGCGCGGTGGTGCTCTGACAGATACAGCACAGTATAGGTTAATCTAAGGGTCAGGCAGCATCAACACCTCACCGCGATGTCGATGCACTGCTTGGTTGAACTGAGGACGAGGCAAAGCTAGATGGCTGGTGGTGATGGCACGTGCAGCGGCGCGAACTAGTTGTGAGGTCGTCGTTCCGCCGTGACCTGCATGGTAGAGGTAAAAGAATGGAGCCGATGAGCATCACGGAGTTGCAGGAGAGCTAAAACAATAAACGGGGTCACCAGAGGAGCGTTAGAACAAGCTAGCCACGACGAGCTGCCATGGTGGCACGGCCGTGGTGGCAACCGACGCCGAAGGCGATTGCGGCGGCGAGAGGTGGCTACAGTGGTTCGAGGAGGACCGATAGAACTAGGCGAAGCTAGGAGCGCAGGAAATTGGGAGAAGATAGAACAACGGCAACGAATTTCACCGTCGAGCGACACTGTAACAGAACCGACCAAATCATAAGAACGTAAGTACAAAAACAATCACCGAAGTGATCAAATTTATGTACTTAAGCTCCCATAATCCCGGTAGTCCGAAAATCATGAAGGATTTCAACCAACTCTCGACATACAAACCAAGACCGTAGTGATTCAACACAACACATCATTCGTTACAACATTTCCCAAGTAGCATTCGGATTACATCCATCAGAGTTCAAATAAAATATTACAAACCCAGTTCAAATTTGCGGAAGCAACATAGTTTAGTACATAACTTCATAGTTTCAAATACATTGCCAGATCTTAGTCAGGTCCCACAAAAGCATCTTCAGATATGAGAACTAGGAGAGACCGCGCCCAACGGTCTAGTCTTCATCCCCAGCCGGGAGAAGGCAATACTTGCAGCAACCAAAGTAGAACTGGTCATCTACAACAGGTGGGAGATAAACCCTGACTACGAGAAGGTACTCAGCTAGACTTACCCGTCAAAACCAAAAATAAAAGACACCAAGGGTCATGCAAGGCTTATGAGGTGGGCTAGCTGGACACAGTTGCATAAAGAGCTTATGAGCATAGTAACCAATTTAAACTTAGCATCAAGCTTATCATCATTTACTTGTCCACTAGATTAGCACCTGTACTAGAGCACTCACTTATTAGGAGCAATCAATATTAACCATAGCAGGTATAATAAGGCTGTCATCATCATAACATCTTTTCTGAACCATTATGTTATTTAGTGTATCTACTTTGGAGATAAGCCCGTCAAGTTCTCACT